GAGCGAGTTAAAACAAGACTGAGGGGCACAAAAGTAAGGGAGGGTGGGTGGGAGAAAAAGCCTTATAACTTTTGGGGAAAAGGTGGTTTAGGCATCCCATAGCAAATAAATTACTAATTGTTGTGCAATATGTAGTAATTCTGAGACCGCTTCTGGGTAAAAGGGTTCCCAATATCCCATTGTGTGTGCCAAAATAACTCCCTAAAAATTGGATTATCTATTGTGAACTGCTAAGTAAAGATCTATTTCCGCCAGCAGTTTACAGTCAAAGACTGCCGTGCTCTTGGAGATCTTATATGTGGACAATCACTGTGTCAATTCGGAGTAGCATGTCTTTTAGATATCCAGAATATTTTATTTATATATTTATAGGTGACCAATCCTATACAAATGATATATAAATGATAGGTAATAGTTTAATGTCATTGCAGACGCTGTGTGTCTTATATAAGCGATAACTCATAGTATTTTCGCACATAAGGGGTGATAACTCGTGGTATTTTCGCAAATATTGCCCTTATTGAAATGAATATGGGTGGGGGGACAAAGGTTTCAATATCAAATGTTGCTGCAGCACTGTCCTGGTGAGGGAGCGGCTTACGCGAAGGTGCCTGCTACCAAGTCTTGAGGTAGGCTGACAGCGGTAGAGGTGATGATGGATGTGTCAAAAAAGGTGCGCCCCACACCTGGATTTTCTTGGGCTGAAAAAGCACAAGCGAATAACTCTAGGTCTTCTTCGCTTGGCTCAAAAATTAAACAGTTTTATTTAAGGTGGTCATGTTTAGGACCAAAAAATCACACCAGCAGCAGGAAGCTGGGGGCGTGCATGGAGATTCATTATAATGTCACAAAGCACCAAAGCACTTAACCCAATTAAGGGCAAGTCTGCTTTTGTGACCTGCACAAATGATCCCACATAAAAAGCCTGCCACAAGGGCTAGGCTGAGGACGCGCGCAGTGGTATGCAGTCTGGAAAAGGGGCTCAAAGGGCCCTTAGCCTTATGCTCACAACTAGGGGGGTGAATTGGCTGTTTAGGCCGCATACAATAGGATAATGAATCTAAGGTCCTCTCTTAGATCCTTATGGGCTTTATATACATGTAGGGCAGGGCCCCTGGCACTGTGCTACTGTAAGACCTCAGATACCTACATGTGAACATATTGCCAGAACCGGTAATGGTTCTGGACTTCGTCATAGCAACTATCTACAATGGCCATGGATACGCTGAGGTAATCCTATCTAATCCAATGAGATAAATGCCTGTAAGTGGGCCCACTGTTGAGGGGCCAATGGGTGATGGCCAACAGAGCACATCACAACGGTTGCAACATCAGATGAGAGGATCTGTCCAAACTCAGAACAATGAGTGTGACGATCAGTCTTCATCTGGATAGGGTTGTGAGAAGATCTAGCCTATCCTGTACCTGGCTATACTGTATGCCGGTTGGTAGGGGGATCCTCTGTTGTGGTATCTGCCTATTGGTTTAGGCAGCAAAGTGGTGCCACTATCTTGAGTGGCGAATTGGATGCTTGCTAGCTTGATGGTCCAATGGGTTCCTTTCTGGGCAAGTGGCCTGGTGTCATGTGACCAACGCCTGACAACTTCTGAATAGGGCAAGTGGCCAGTGTCACGTGACTGGGTGGCTGAATCATGGGCGCTTGGTGGTCATGCAGTAGACACAGTCATGTCCATGATGTATGTGGCGGCATTGTGCTGTTTGTCCAAGTATCCACGTTGCGAGACCAATATGAAGGTTGGCGTCCGAATAACCACTCAAATGAGGACTTTAATGGTGCAAAAAGAAAGGTGCCACTTAATACTGTGACAATACCACACCACCGAAGATGTAGCCATTACAGACAATACCATTCCCATGGTCTTACTAAGTAGTTCGGAGGTTCGGCATGCATGACACACGTAGTCTGACAGGTAGTGGTAACCAATCAGACAATGTCCATTAGCTAGCGGTTCTGGGGTATCAGGGTACCAAGGGTCCCTCTGCTCATGTATATAAGCCAGAGCTCTGAGACGCATAAGTCCCCCAGACTTATTCTCATCTCTGCTACACCTATTCATACGGTGTTATCAGTGCTCACTTGAAAGGCACTGCTTTACCTTGATCGTCTTTGTGTCCATCCTTACTTCAACAACAGTCAGTAAGTGTTTGATCATAAGGTCATAGGCTTAGTCAGTGCACTGCATCCTAAGTTTGTGATAAATACTTGTCGTCATAGACAGACTTACAAAACGAGCACACTTCTATGCAACGGATGACACGGTCACATTGTCGCAAGTCGCTAACATATTCTATAATGAAGTCTTCAAACTCCACAGATTGCCATGCCAGATTATCTCAGACAGAGGTACTCAGTTTGCGAGCAAACTATTTCAGGAGTTCTGCCAGAAGCTCGGTATAAAGTCAACAATGTCCACAGCATATCATCCCCAAACAGACGGCCAGACAGAAAGGGTTAACCAAGTGTTGAAACAGTACCTACGAATGTACTGTAATCACAGACAGAACGATTGGGTCTATTACCTGCCAACAGCAGAATTCTCATACAACAACCAGACCCATGAGTCTACTGCACTTTCTCCATTCTTTGTCAAATACGGCTGACATCCAAAAATGGCACCAGACGTACACGAGTCAATATGTCATCCCTCATTGGAACATTTATTCGCCCACCGATCTGAGGTGCAAGAACAGGTAAAGGCAGCATTGGAAGTTTCAGCTTCACGGATGAAATGGTACTTCGATGAGAAAAAGGGAGAAGTCCCATTCAAAGTCGGAGACCTAGTACTACTCAAAGGGAAAGACCTCAGAGTAAAAGTCAAATCCGTGAAGCTAGGCACACAAAACTTCGGACCTTACAAAGTACTTCAGAAGCTAGGCCCAGTCACGTTCAAACTGGAACTGCCCAAGCAAATGAAGGTCTGCCCGGTCTTCCATGCTAGCAAGTTAATCATGTACCATCAAGACACGGTCACACACCGTGAACCCCTAAAGCCCCCAGCCATAGAAATCGAAGGAGAACCAGAATTCGAAGTTGAAGAAATACTAGACTCGAAGGTCGTAAGGGGACAGATCCAATACCTCATCAAATGGAAAGGCTATGACCATTCCGACGATACATGGGAACCCCGAACAAATCTTACCAACGCCGACGAGCTTCTTCAAGAATTCCAACAACAACACCCAGATGCAGCCAAAGCACCAATCAGTGTCGTCACTTTTGGTGGAAAACACTTTGAATTATCCTCATATGAAGTTGCACTGATCTCCACACACAGAATCAATATGTCCGACCATCCGGATGAGTTCTTCCTGTATCATAAATTGACAGATCTCGTCAAATCACCAAAAAAAATCCTCAAATGAAGCAGCAGGATGGGATATTTATGCAGCAGAAATGCACGAAATTCCTCCGCATTCACGAGCTGTGGTAGGAACGGGAGTTGCAATCGACCCTCCCAAACATACCTATACACGAATAGCTCTATGCAGTGGACTTGCTGCAAGAGGAGTTGACGTGGGCGCAGGAGTCGTTGACCCTGATTACACCAGAGAACTCAAGGTCGTACTGATCAACACAATGGATTTCATATTTTCAGTTAAACCAGGAGACAGGATAGCCCAAATAATCTTCGAATATTATGCCAAAGGGCTTCCCTCCCGAAGTTACCAACCGTTGTGAGCAACTAAAAGAGGAAATAAAGGTTTTGGCTCCTCGGGACAATGAGCCTTGAGAGGGGGTAGTGTCACAGATTTTTGCCACAAAGTCTGCACGTGACTTTTCTCACATCACAGATCACGTGCTTCACCAATATCTCATGCCACTCAGCCACAGACGTGATGCGTAGAGATCAGGTGATAGTCCACATCACATGTTATGGTCCAGACCCGTGGATGATATGGTCGGACCTGTCTATTCCAGGATACAATAGAGGCACCCATTTGGGAACAAAGGGAACAAGAACTATTGTTATGCATTGGCCTTCCACTTCCTATTAGTTTAGCCAGAAGCCCAGATAGGCATGATGTTCACACCGGAGAACAAAAGGGAAACCAAGATAGGCACGATGTTCGCACACGTTACTGTGGCAACCATTGATCTTCCCACTTATTGTTCTACATCCGGACATCCCATTGTTTCATGTATGGCCATTTGCTTATACCCGTAGATAGGTAGCTTAGGTAAGATAGCCTGCTGTACATGTATATATGTAAGACCAGCCATGTAGGGGACGAAACCTCAGATTGTTTCTCCTCATCTACCATCTGTAGCACCCACTGAGCTCACCAGCTCCTTCATATATCTCTCACCCATTCCTGCATCTGCCACATCAACTAGTAAGTCATAGGCTCTTGTGCCACATAGAGTTCAGGGGGATTACTTGGGATCAGGGGGATCAGGGCAGCACGTTCCACGTGACTGTCCCTTTTTAGTCTTTTTGATCTCTTGTCCAGTGGTACCGTGACAGACCCACTATAGCTATGCAATCACCACAGCAGAGAAACACTGTTGACAGAGATGTTAGTGATGCAGTTGTTATTCATCTCACATTTGAGATTGTACAGGAGTGTGCTTACATGCATGCCCACAGACATTTTATCTGCTTTTACCACGGCCAGTTCAGGCTTGCACTCATGTACCAGGATGTTTTCAAGGATGCGATGCAGGCAGTCAGCAATGTCATGGGTCTCATCAACAGCATCATTGCCACCGACTGCATATCGCCATCCTGTCTCAAGACATCATTGGTATGGGTTTGTGGATATTGAATTTCTCGATCAATGATCGGGCGTGATGATTGTGACTCATTTTGCTTGCCTTCGTTTTCGCCGTGCTCATTTCTTGCTGTCATTGTGAGATGCCATTTCAACAGCTCGATGAAGATGAAGGCTCTGATATCGAATCCTCATTCTTTGATGAAGAATATCGAAGTGCTGACAACGAACCTGATGGTAGGCAAGAACATCAAGATCCTCTCGTTATGCCTGAAGACAATGCAATGATTGAAGACTTTCGAGCTGTCTGTGTTTACCATTTTTCCCACCACACATTCTTCATAGACTAATGTTTTTGGACAGGCTCTACGTGACTTGCAGCTGTGCTACGTTTCGCTACAACAGCAGATGCAAAAGGTCAAAGCACATAACACTCAATTGAAAATAAAGTGTTCAAAACGTGGTGCTCACGCGAACCGTGGTACACAGTCGAAAGTGGTAGCGAAGTATGATACCAATATACGCGCTCTAGAAAGACGTTTTGGTGTGACCGTGTGGCTCTGGGTTCCTCCTGCAGCCTGGAGCTATGCAGAACGTCCGGTCATTGATCCTGAAGATACTGACTGGTTCACCAATCAGACAACAAGGGCGATGGCACTATCTGCAGAAATGTTCGACTTTCTGCCAGCGCATCTGCATAAATTGATGCGCCTTAGTGATTTTCAGTTAGCCGTACGTTTGTTGAAAACTGTGAATACTGGTTGTGATGGCACTCATTTGGAACTCCTGGTGCTTCTATTTTTAGTTCAATTTTGGTGTGGGACAAGGCAAGGCAACTGCAATTGACAATGTACGATTGTCGGCAGGAGAGATCTTTGGATTGCCGCAGGAATGGTTCAGCTCTACATATGATCACGCTTCAAACCTGGACTTACAGCAGCTTCTGAAAGGAAATGGTGACAAATACCTTCTTCTCACACCAGTACTGTTCCCTGCAGAAGTGCGAGAGCAGTGCCCAAAGTGTCTTACATTTCGTACTGAAGTCATTGCGAAGGCAAGTAATGTCTTTCTTCTTCATGGTTGTGCTTCAATAATTTAGATCCCAGATAATCAAAATTGCGCTATTTGGCAGAAATGCCTTGCATTCTGGTGGATGCTCAGGGCCAAAGACATCCAGAGAAAATCAGCAGATTACTGGTATCACACCTCACATGGTCACTTGGGCAGCCAATCTGGCAGGTACCATATTTATCTGCTTGACGTTTTAATATTCACAAAATATGTCATTGAGGCTTGTTTCTTCTGTTCACCGGACACACAATACAACCTGAAAGGGGCAAGAAGCGGAATTGATTATCTGGGTAACTTTGACCGCTATCTTCAACTGTTGCTATCTTTGGATCTGGTCAGACTAAAGAGCCTACTTGCATTTCTAAATGTGCTTATCTTCAGTGACAAGGCCTTGGCAGTGTGCAATAAAACTGAAGATGACATGGATTTAGACGCGATAGCGCAAGAGATGAATGCTGCGAGTGATGATGAATCTGATGAGCTAGAGTCAGAATACATTTCAATCAATCCTCCTCTTCAGTGTGCCATCACCGTGACATGTAATCCTGTTCCTGTCACTCCACTCACTCGCACCACTGTGACTGATGAACATGGCTCATTTTCCACTGTCACGGCTAAGCTTTGCCACACGAGACGTGATGTCCATGGGTGCTTCACACATGACCCGCTCACGGATGACCTTTATACTGAGTGCCTTGTAAGGCCCCAGGGTCTCACTTGGAGCAGTGACTCAAGATCCAACATAAAAGGGTGGTGAGCCCCCTATCAGCCAATGGTAGGCAAAGGACAAGTGAGTGGCAATGAGCCTCACTGTCGAGCTGACTCAGGGATGAAGGGATGTGGCAAGCCACGATGGATGTGAGAAATAGATGAATAAGACTGAGGGCTACCTCAGTCGCATAGGGCATATATATACATGTGGGGCTGGACCCCAGTCACTCTAACTATGTGTACCTACTGGGGTTCTGGCAAGCCACATGTGCATATTACATAATGTGCTACAGCCAATAGCAATGTACCTACTAGTAAATACTACGTGGTCATTGGTGGGCTGTAGACTCATAGATAAGGTCATGGTCCATGTGGCATTCCGTCGGGGTGCCGTCTCGGCCATGAGGTATAAGGCCGACCTCCTTACCAATCCAGACCTCGGTGTCCTGTGCCTATGCCCGAGCCTATTGAGCGGCTATCAGGATGTCATGTGCTTGGGCGTCTCTTAAGGTCACGTGCCAGGGGTGCTTGATGGGGCGCTACCTTGTGGGTCACGTGATGTGTCGATTGGCGCAGACAATCGATAAGATCCTTGAGCACTTAGCTGATCATCAATGATGTTGCGTGGCTTTTGTGGCTGGCTTTGGTGATGCTGCTTGAGTCCAGTTACAGTAGGGCCTTCTGAATAGGGAAGTGCTAATATACTGTGACATCACCCCCACTTCATGGTTCATCGCCCTCGATGAACAGATGCTGTGAAGGCTGACTGAGCAGATGGGTGGGAGGGCAGGGTTGATCGGCATGCTCACAGTTTAATGACTTGCACATAGGTCTTTTGGTGCTCGCAGTTTATTCCTATAGACTTGCGCATTGGTCTTTGGGATCGCTATGGCTGGGAAATGGCCATGCTGGTGCTGGTAGTTTGTTACCGACATACATCGTGGTCGGGCTGACAGTTTAAACCTCATGAGCACAGAGGTTGGGGTGGTGCTTGAAATGCATCTTTTGTCCCTTGAAGTCTTGGGCCAGGTTGCCAATACCTCTAAGTGGTGGCAGTGCCTTTTGCTTCTTCTTGGGCTACACCCCTTTTGAGGACTTCAGACCAGTATCAACGCTGATGGGAGTTACCTGGTGATGTGTTTTTCATTCCTATAGGGCTGCACTCAAACCCTTTGGGATCCCTTCAAGTTGCTTGCTTGAGGTGGTGCTCGCAGTTTTTCCTCTGGTCTTGCGCATAGGACCTGGGATCTGCAGTTTAACTTCATGCTTAGGAGGCACTCAGCTTGTTACAGCACCGTGTCAGGGTGTGATGCATAAGCTGCAGTTTCTTATTGGAAAGGTGCACCTATTTCCTTTCTATTTTTGATCTAACCAGTGATCTTGTTCACGCCTAGTGTGGTGAGTGGTCGTTGAGATGTGATAAGATGCTGAGTGACGTATGGCAAAACTCTTGCATGATCCATCTTGTCCACGAGTTCATAGGTCTTTTCGTATGACTCGACTGGTTGATTTGAGGCGTAAAATTGGAGCTAGAAAGTGGTACTTCAGATCTGGCTATACGAACTGTGGCTATGTAACCAGCCTGTGGCCTTCCCAACAGTTACGGCCAGTTTTGTGCCTCTCTGTGGATAAGCCTTGAAGGTTCAGGGAATACTGTGCTGTGCTCGCCCTTCAGCCTTCCAAGGTCTTATATCCTTTTCCCAATGGTCAAGGGCGGTATAGGTTCTCCCATCCGAATGCCATAGTTCTATGCTAGCCGACACATGTCTGACATAGCATGAATCCTCCTTATAGGTTTGGAGGAGTGTGGCCTTTGGTCTACGCCTAATGGTCATCCGTGGAGACCAGGTCATTATGCTTTACTACGTTACGCACATGCCTATATACCTATATTACCCACTCCTTGCCAAGCTCTTCTCCAGGAGCGAGCTGACACTAGGCAAGACCCGCCTGGGTCTAATCATCCACCGCCACGCACTCCTGGGTGACATGCGAGGGGTGACCCAAGGGAGAGAATTAATAAGAAACAATATAGGGTGGGTGGGGGGGAATCAAAAGATTGGATGTGTTCAGCAGGTTTGCAGTTTATTCTGACTTGCACTAGGTCTTCTGGCAGGACTCCTGTGGTCAAGTGCCAGGATCCACTCTCTGGACCCCAAATCGGGTTGCTTGAGTGGTAGATTGCTTTGAACAAAGATGCGCAATAGCGTCGCATTCCAAACGCGATGGGCGGCAGTTTTTCGATTCAATGTGTGCCTTGGTTGCATGTTTTTTATCGCGTAAGACTTGGAATGAATGTTTCCCATAGTATCCCTATTTGTCCCAGTGTTGAACTATTCTTTGTGTCGTTCTTCGAGTTTCTACTCTATCCGCCCACAGTTAATAGTCAAAAGACTACCGTGTGCTTGGATGAGTTCTTCTCGACTTGCGCTGTTCATTCCACAGAATGTTCTTGAACAGGAGGTGTGCTGACTAGACACACTCTTTTGCATGCAAAGGTTTAAACTGGTAGCATTCCAGGCTAGCATGCAGGATGTATGACCCTTATCCTATATGGATTCTTCAATCTACATTGATAACGGGTTTTTGCCGAGGTCTTCGGACTTGTTCTAGGCCTGCCTTTTGATCTTTATCAAGATATAGGATGTTTGCTCGCAGTTTAGTTTTCTTCTATTGAGGACATGCACATAGGTTCTCGGATACACGGTCACGAATCACTCGAAGTGTTTTTCGTGCTGGGCGAAGCTTTTGAGTGGGCCAGCTTTAGGCAAGATCACTTAATGCGCAATGGCTTTATCAGGGGCCCTAGAGTATATTCCTATAATCGACACAGGTATGCTACGCCTTGTCTAATAATCCCAAAGATCCTTCAATCCATGTACCCACTCCTAGATCTTGACCCCAGCGAACACCAAATGGTTCCTGGCTGTTCACCCTCATGGAGAAGTGAAGGAAGCAACCTGCGCTGATACCTTTTGTAGGCAGGGAGCGGCTTACAGTGGGTAGAGTTGTAGGAATAGTGGAGGAAGTGATGTGGAAAAAGCCCTGCTCTCAGGCAGAATATCTCTGAGCAAAAACGATGCAGTTTAATGACATGCTTCAGGTCAAAAAGTGCCTGGTCCTCAAAGGATCCTCAGGTCACTCCCTGCGGTCAGCCTGAGGCCGAAGGCAGGTGGTTGAGTCTTATTCAAATGTCACGGCTAAGCTTTGCCACA